CGAGCAGTTGAAAAACGTGCCCAAAAATGTATTGAAGAACAAGGTGGTGTTTTCGAGCATCTTCTTTAAAAAAAATTGTTATTGTATTTTGTAAGATTATAAGTTGATGTTGAAAATAAAGTTTGTCGATACAATTTAATTGTTTCAGATTGGAGGCCATAACTTCAACAATTTGTAACCTAGGAGAAAAGTTATTGTAAGCTTTTTTGTTTAAAATTTGATGCTTTAACAGAAAAAAATATAATATACAGGGGTTTCCATTTAAAAAAATGTTATTTTACTGAAAAAAATCAAAATAACGACTCTCAATTGTTTTTTCTTTATTTCTCATTTTTACCAGCGTTAAAAATGCTACTAGTTTGCTAATTCAAACAACTTTGTATTTTCACTAATTGGACACTTAATTTGGATAACCCTGTATAGTATGAGCAGTTTTACGCGTAGATTGACCAATCACCAAGATTCATCAGAGATGCATCTTGTCGATAACTCAATCAGTGGAAAAATCCCACGTCCTCTTTACCTGCATTGACTCATTACGCCCCAAAAATCAGATACAGTTAATCCACCAGTGGTGAAGAAAAAGTATAATAGATACTACTATTACTAGTGTATAGCTCCGAATAGGGCCACGCGAAACTTTAGAATTTCTTGAAGGCAACATTCAACATTGGCATCCCAAATTACCTCCATAATTTCATTGACTAGTACATATAGAGACAAAAAATCTAAATTTTGTATCGACCAACTTTTAGTTTAAGATCCATTCATTGAAGAAAGCATTCAAAAACTATTGTAGACCCTGATAAGTACTGGTTTTACGGATAAATCGAGTGTGTAGATGCCGAATCTGGAATAAAGCTTCGCAATACTGTCGTTCTTTTAACTTTAACTTCCCTACTGAGTGGGGCCGTGGCAAATGCTTGTTCCGGAAGTTGTTGTATCCAGTATACAACTTCTTCTCGTTCAAGTGATTGTCCACGCGTTAAGGAATACCTCAGTACCGATTGCCGGGTGGCGGTACAAATCCGCCAACAGGCCACTTTAGGTCTATTCAACATCACTAACACGTAAAAAGGAGGTGGTAGACAAGGACCAGTCGACTGAGGCAGTACCACCCGCTAGCTTTTCCCAGGGTGTCTTATAAATGTCCGCATGTTTCCACACCTAAGCTCTGCAGTCGGTTATCCCCCAAAACAAAGAAATTAACGATGATGGACCCCTCGAGCACTAAGAACTCCGGACGTAAACTCACTCCACTCTCGGAATGTCCGGGTGGAAGGTGGGCTCGAGGGAACAACATCGAAGATAAAATTTGTTTTTCGAACATCTGCGGGATTATCAGCAACATTGATGCCGTTCATCACTACCTGCAATCCAATCGTCCCGCCGTGCTTTTCTTGGCGGAGACAAAAATCTCAGAGTCTGCACCGATTAACCATCTTAACTTCCCAAACTACGAGGTGCACTCCAATCTGAGAAAGAACGGGGGAGTTGTGGCTTTTGTCCGCAGCAGTCTTCAGTCTTTCCTGCTCCAGAGATATTTCTTTGGAATCAGACCGGAAGGACATTCTGTGGCTTCGCCTCAACTCCAAAACATCACCCAAGTTTATTTGCTGCCTTTATCGCTCTCCCTCGGACCATAACTGGGATGACCTACTCGAATACCTCGCCGTCCAGATGGACTTCCTGAACATCAATCATCCCGCTTCAGAGGTAGTTCTTCTCGGTGATTTCAATGCCCATAACGAGCTTTAGTTGGGCTCAAACAAGACCGACGCAGCAGGTCGTGCAGTCGAAGCGTTCGCTCTTACCCAAGGGCTGACTCAGCTGGTGACGAGTCCTACTTTTTTCCCCCGCGTCTCGTCACACGCCAGTAGCCTGCTGGATCTCTTTCTGACAACGCATCCTGCCCCTTACAGCACTGCTGTCCTGTCCCCCCTGGGTAACTCAGACCACGGTGTTGTGGAGGTTAGGTTTCGGTCAGAACCCGCTGTGGCAGCAGAAACTCGTACAGGCCGCCAAACTTGGCATTACGGACATGCCGACTGGGAGGGGCTCAGAGATTTCTTCTCTAGCTTTCCTTGGAAAGATGTCTGTTTCACTGACGCGGATGCGTCGGTTGTCTGTTCTTCGATAACCGAAATAATCCACGTTGGAATGACGGAGGAATACATCCCTCACACAGTGAAAGTGCCTAGACCAGGGTCCAACGGCTGGTTTAACAAATCGTGTGACGCTGCACGCCAGCAGAAGATCAAGGCACACAGAACCTTCTTACAAAACCCCACTGTAGAGAACAGACAAGCCGACGTTGAGTCCAGAAACAAATATAAAGCAGCGGTTCGCAATGCCAAAAACCAGCATGATATAAAAGTTAGGCACAGGGTAATGTCGCAGCGCAATGGCAGTCGGTCTTTCTGGACGCTGGCCAAGCAGATTGAAAAGAACTTCTCACACAGTAGCCTTCCACGACTCATGTGTCAAGATGGAACTATTGTATTCAACTCAAAGGATAAGGCGGAAGTGCTAGTCAAGATCTTTGCTGCCAACTCCACCATGGACGTCCCCCCCCAACGCCCAAGTGCCGTCAATTCAAAGGGTTCCCTACACTATGCGGGAGGTAACATTCAGGCCTAAGACCGTAAGACGAGTGCTCTTGTCGCTCGACATCAACAAAGCTTCTGGTCCGGACTTGATTCCTGCCATTGTACTGAAGAGGTGTGCACCGGAGCTTGCTCCAGTTCTTTCGCGTCTCTTCCAGATATCTTATGAATCCGGCACCTTCCCAGAAAACTGGAAATTTGCGCATGTCCAACCCATCCCAAAAAAGGGATCTAAGACCGACCCTTACAACTACAGGCCTATAGCTGTGCTTTCTGTTTTAAGTAAGGTGATGGAGAGGTCCATAAATCGCGAGCTTCTGGACTACCTCGAACGTTACGGCTTGATTAGCGACAGGCAGTATGGTTTCCGGCACCAACGATCCACAGGGGACCTCCTAGCTTACGTCACTCAATTGTGGAGTAAACTCATCCACGAAAGCGTTCGATCAGCTGTGGCACGCTGCCCTCTTAAGCAAACTTCCATCCTATGGCCTCCCAGAAAAGATTTGCAGATGGGTGGCTGACTTTATCTCTGACCGCAAGATATCCGTCGTAATTGACGGGTTCTCCTCTTCATCCCACAACGTCAACGCGGGTGTTCCCCAGGGATCGGTCTTGGCTCCGACACTGTTTCTCTTACATATCAACGACCTCTTTTCCTGCACGATCAGCCCAATCCACGAATCAAGCATTTGTTTATCTCCATATTCTCACAGTTGTAGCTGTAGCTAGGATCAAAGTGCACTTGACATAAGTCTTTTTGTGACAGTTCTGTCATTAAGTTCGTAGTTTTAGTGTTATTTATAAAAGTGCGAGTGTATGCAGATAATTGTGGTATTAATCGATTTCGAGACGTGTTACTTCTTACATAATTTGCAAAGCGCAGCACAAGTCTAATGAAGTTAGATGTTTCCACCGGTAAGTATTATTTTTATGTATTATTATGTTGATACAATGCTGTCACTTTTGGTAGGAATTGGTAGACAAATGAGTCAAAAGTACAAATTTGCACTAAAACTACTCATTTTTGGCGACAAACAATGCAATGTAAACATATAGGTTTGGCTTTGCCTAATATATTCGGATTCGTTATGTAAGACAGCAAAAACAACGGTACAGCCACTTAAGCAAAATCAGAGATAACAGGATAGTAAGAATAGTCGAATGATCAAACGGCTGGAGGAGTATAGGAAACACAAGAAGAAGACGATGGAGTGACAACCCGGACTTCCAGCAAAGATATATCCGGAAACATACAGGCACAAAAGCCTGTTAAAGGACAGGGAAGAAGAAAGAAGGCCTGGGCTATCTGCTATAATTTGTTCATTCTTAAAGTAATCACGAGGGTTGATGTCGCGAATTATAATAGTTTCGCTATCGCACATAAGGTGAATAAGGTGAATTCAGGCATTAAGACTTGATTGTGTACATTTTCTCAACAGATATTAACTGAGTCTAGACGGAAGAATAATAATCCAAGCTCCAGATATCAATGTCATCAGAGATGTTGAGGAAGGTGAAGTAAAGTTTTTTGAAATGTTTTCAAACATTTTAGGCCAAACTGTAATAGCAAATAAATCTATGCAAAGTAACAAATAACTTAAGTCTCAAAGGTAAACGTATGAACTATATATACTCGTATAAAGAAAGACGAGAAGCCTTGAAGAAATTAAGATGAAAAACAAAGGGCAATGGTGGTCATGTCTGCCAAAAAGGAACAGGAGCCCAAATGGATGTGCATCGAAAACGTCGAAGTGGTTGGTGGCTTCTAGTTTTATTTCCATTTCCATCCTTGTTTTCATTCAGATTACACCCGTATCCAGATGTGATGGGCATATGTTTTCACTTCAGTGTTTCCAATGCATATCAATTTGGGGCTGATAAAGCCAATAAGCAGAAGCATACGTCAGTCGGGTTACCAATCCTTCTATTCCGGCTCCTGTTCCTCTATCGCAGACATGCTCACGATTGTCCTTTGTCGAACAATATATGGTATATGTTCAACAGGTGCATATAGGATTTACCAGAAGCAGAAACTTAATAACAGAACGTTTTTTAAAATAGATTTAATCCCATTTCTCACTACCCTCCCAAACATTGCGGTGAGGATAAAGAAAATATTGAATTTCATTCGTTTTCTGGCCATAACATCACCGCCATTAATTTTCGAATATTATAAAGCTTTTTCATTGTAACAAAACATACAAATCTGACTGACTTAGTTTGTCTAGTCTGAATATATGAAAACGATCCCTCGTAGGTAATTCTCAGACAACAATTCATCATTTACTGCATACCTGTCTCCAGTAATCACAAAAGGTATGTCAGGTAGCCATCCTGATAGTATTTAAGTATAAAAGTCAGATACCACGAAAGGTCGGTTTCCAGTGTAACCCAAAATGTATCGCATATACATCGTGCTGGTTCAATGTCTTTTAGTGGGTGTCTTCGCCAGAGAGGTGCCTCAAATCATAAATGGTGAGTGGAATTCTCATACCCAGTTTTTATTAGGCTGGAGCTTACTGTATTTTCAATCCTTATTAGGAAGCCCATCTATCACCATTTACGTTTATTACGACGGTAGTGCTTGCACCACGTTCTATAAGAATCTGCCAATTTTTATGCTAACTCTTACTCCGTCGCGAAGGACTAGAGGTTTCTTAACCAGGCAAGTAGAATTCTAGGTCCAAAACATTAATTCCAACTACGGATCTAGAAACACTGTACCTATCATCTTTATATTTTTTCTTGCTTTCCGATTAAGTATCTATATGTGTGACAATATTTGTGTATGGGTTTTGAAACTCGTAGACAGTAGCAATAATAGTAATTTCGTGTCGCATGGACGAGGTATACAGTGCTTTCTTGAGTTATAATTGAAATTCGGGGTGATTTTGGAATATTTTTTAATGGAATGGGAGGTCGTGTGATACCTCATTTTGATATTCTCAATGATTACTTTATAACCCGAGAATATAAAATCACCATCTTTCAATTTGGCAAACTGGCAGGTTTTCAAAGTTGATCGTTTTGTACATTTGAATTTTCAACCGTTTTTCTTCGTCAATTTCACCACTCTGCACTGTATATGTTTATTTTGTGATGGGTCATAAAATATATGGGAAGAAACGTTACTTTACTTTAAAACGGAAAAGTAAGTTTTAGTGATTTTCCTAATTAGATCCGTGTTCACTTTTTATCAACTTTCCTTCAATATTCTTCAATCAACGTATACTTAAAATATATTGAAAAATACAGAACAGCATTTTCCCGCTGCAAAATGATATATAAATACTACACGTACATTCTTCAGAAAAGCATGGTTATGCTATGTTCGAGCTCTTTAACGGGCGAACAACGTTTTTTGCACTATTTTTTTTAAATTCATGATTTCGAGAAATCTAAAATTATCCATAAAAGTTGTATTTTTTTCACTGTACAAGTTTATAATTTAACTTTGTAAGTTTGTCCGAAAAAAGCACAAAATAGATAGTTGCCAGATTTTTTGGGGCAAAGTAACATTCCGTTCAATATTGGCCTTTCAATAAAATCATTTTGGTGTGAAAATCATTTTGCTAGACCTGAAGCATGTAGACGTTCCTATGCTTTTTACCGGGTATTTAGAGATAAAACCATGTTTTTTATATTTATGATCGATCGTAAAGTAAATTAAGGGTACGTATTACAGATAGCCCCCTGGATAACTATTCGTCAGATACTCATCTAAATAGGCAACCTAGGTTCATAAGAGAAGCTGTCACTCAGACTGTCTACCAAGACAAAGTGGTGACCTCTTTGGTGCCATCATCTTGCGTCTACGTGGATCCCTCTCTACCGCCTTGTAGAAACGTGCGCTACCTCAGATTTCCCAGTTTCATCACAACAGGATTGTAAGTTTATTAATTATTAATAAAATTACGAATAATGTATTTGTTATTGGATTCGAACCCAAATACCAATTTGATATTCTCTAACAACAAAATAAGGTCACTGACAAAAACATTTAACTAATCATTTAAAAATTTTTTGAGCCAATTAAAAAATGTAGTTAGCTACGTGACAGCTAACAAGTTTAATTAGTTTAATTAAACTCCGATTTCTAAAACAGTTTACTTGAATCTGTGAAACGAGTTTCATTAAATCAAAAAGCAGTCGTTTAATTAAACTCAATAAACCGTTTACTTGATACTTGATTGAGTACATAAATTTTTAAATTTTATGATTAATGTACTATCAAAATAATGGGTTGACCTGCTCCAAGTATTTAAAATTGTTCATTTAGATTAGGTAAAAGTATTTGCCTAGATTTAATAAACTAATTTATTTAGATTTAAAAGTATATTTGGATAATAGTTGGAATTTAAAAGAACAAATTGCATTTTACTAAATGATGTATATTATAACTCTGACTAATCTAGTATATAAAAAATTTTGGAAAAATTGATAATGGATATTGCACTAGATGCAATAATCTGCTTCAAATTCAGGAAGTAGGGAAAGGAATATGATCAAAAAAATCTATTCATAGATATCCAGCTTAATAAAAAGCATATCTAAGAATAATAAAAGAAAATGATTAGCACATCAAGCCATCTTAAGCACATGTTTGGTATAAATTGAATGAAGTGCCCAAGTCCTGCGGATTCCGCGATTCAAATAAACTGTCTCTATTAGAATGTTTAACCTTTTTAAATGTAAAGGGTGTCTCAGAAATATTTTCGTTTTTAGATCAGTCCTCTGGCGGAATACGCATGCTCCGGAGAAACGAGACAGTTGACAAACGTTTGGCAACATTGTTAAATTTTAGTTGCAATGGAGCGTTTTACAGGGCCGCAACGTGCTTTTTGTGTTCGCGAGTTCTATAAAAACAAGGATTCTTATGTGCTTGTACGTCGTTTGTACAGAAATCATTATAACATAGCAAGAATGAGAGATGTCCCAAGCGCAAATTTAATTGAATATTGGGTAAGAAAGTTCGAGAGCACTGGAAACACGTGTATTAGTAAACCGCCTGGACGGCCAAGGTCAGCAAGATCGAACGAAAATATTGAATGTGTGCGCCAGTCCGTTAACGAAGATCCCCGGCAATCATTAAGACTGCGTGGAGCGTCTCTAACTTTGCATAAGTCAACTGTTCATCGCATTATTCGCAAGGATTTGCATTTTCACCCATACAAGATTGTTGTTACACAACAATTAAAACCACAAGATCCCGCTAATCGATTAGAGTTCTGTAGAACAATGAGAGAGCATTTTAACGGTTACAACAACATATGGTTTTCTGATGAATCGAATTTTCACATTAACGGGCATGTTAATAAACAAAACTTTTTTCTTATGGGGATACCTGAAGAGTAAGGTATACACCCCACCGCCACAAGATTTGAGAGAGTTGAAGCAAAAAATAACAGATGAAATAAACGCCATTCCTCGAGCAATGCTTCGGAGAGTGATCGAAAACTTCAGTTCGAGATTAAGACAGTGTGAAAACATGAACGGTGCTCATTTATCCGATACTCTTTTCCATAAATAAAATTAATGTTTAGGCTTTCGTTTGGTAATAAATTTATCTTTGTAAAAATATTCTAAGTATTTTTATTTATGGCATAAAATAAGAAAATATTTATGAGACACCCTTTATTTTCTCGACATAAAGTAAATTACTAATTAAACTGTGTAACACAGGTACATGGTTTGCTATTTTCAAGCAAATTAGTAATTATATTATTTTCAATTAAACTGGTTCCAGAAAATCCAGTTTGATTAAACCGAACAATTTAGTTACTTAGAATAACTAAACAGTTAAGACGGGTAATGGAAATTTTCCAGAAGACCAACTTCTAGGTATTTTTCGCGGTGGTCAACTCATGGTTTGGATGTCAAACAGGAAATTCGTTATGCCCGAGCTTCCGCTGCTAAATGCGTCAAAAACGTTAATCTTCTTTTGCAGAAACCAACAGTTTGGGCCAATAGACGCACCACCGGCGAGCGACAAATCAGGTGGACAAATAAACTCAACGTCACTCAGCTGGGGCGAATATTTAGGCTTCTACCCCCGCACAGAAACTGTGACCAAGATCAATCTACACACTACGGTTGTCCAGGATCCCAGGATTATGGTTACTTTTGCTGTGAAGGGGTGTAAGCCTTTGAAGATACCAGGAGACCTGAACAGGTATAATAAATATTCAAAATAATACCTTCATTCTTAGTCATTAGCATTGTGACCTTAGAATGCTGAAAGGGGCACACCCATTGAGTACAAGGAAAGCAAAATTCTTCCGCTGGTTTCCGTTAGACTTCATTAAGTAACATCGCGGCTGCTATGAGGATCCCAAAGAAATGTTGTTAATCCTATTTTTGAACTGCCTAAGGGTAGTAGAACTGCGAAAACCGCCTCTTGTAGATTGTTCCACAATCTCGACACCCTAGGGACATCGGAGTGGTCCAATCGGTCAGTTTTGGATGTACGAAGTTCGACACGGCTAGGATGGGAGGCCCAAGTCAGGCGGGTCTATCTGACAGGCACATCGCGCGACAATTGTTTAAACGGATGCAAAAATGTGTATTTATTAAGAAAATAACTTTCAGAAATCCTCGAAATTCAGTGTACTTTCCGGTATAGACGGGAAAAAGAGTTTCCCATAATAATTCTTATTTCTGCCTGACTATTTGGGATGAAATGTTAAGATAAATCACACAGGCACGTTGACACTACAAGGTAGAGTAATTAAGTTTTTAATCCGACGTTTCGTCTCTGGCCCTCTGCCATCAACTTCATTTTGTCTTGTGGACGCCATCTGGTCCATGTAAAATCTTCGCATCTGATGGCAAAATATTCTGATTCGGATTTTTTGCATAATCTCAACCAAAAAGGGTGAATCTGCATAACGCTAGGCCCAAATTTGTGACAAAAAATGTTCAGCATTCCAAACATGTTTTTTGTGCTCCGGTCAGTGTTTTTAGTTCTTTTCATTACATTTTGAAGAAAAAAGGTGCATCATATTTTTTTTTAAATTTATACTTGTTGAGAATAAGCGATACAATAATTATATGGCATTATCGACCCCATAAAACAGTATGAAAAAAAAGAAAATGTTAACCGTACTCAAATCGTCAGTGCACCATAATGCCACAGTTACACACACAAATGCTGTCATTCTTTAAAGGGTTTTCGAAAACGAAGTAGCATTATCGACTATGACCCACAGAAAATTTCACCAAGTCGGTGCAGCTGTTCCAGAGATTACGAAAATAAAGTAACGCCTATACACAGCCAGGTAGACAGACATACAGAATTTACGTGGTGTAGACAAAGCAAAACATAAAAAGACTTGTTTCGTATTCTAAAATGCTTGCGGCCACGGTAACTCCCTCCCTTAGTATGAAGGGAAGTAAAAAACAAGAAACACGTAAATTTATTATTTACTCATCCTGGAGCGTTAACTATTGTAAAAAATAATACTGCCAGTGTATAACTACTTATTCATATTATTCAATGCAAGCATTTTAAATCTGTACCTCTATATGGGGCCTCTTAGGGGCAAGCTGATTCACTTCTTGTCTTATTTCAGATGTGCAGATGAAGGTATGACGCCTCTACCCATCCAAGAAATTCTCCCGACGTCAACTGTGGCTCTGACCTATACAAAGACAGCCCTTCCCATTGACAATAACCTGAGTAATCACCGTCTTGAACCCGAGTTGTATACGAATAAAAATGTGAATGAAATTGACGAGAATGTTGGATACATTGAAAGTTCGACAGTTATCAGAGAGAATTTAGAAGCCTCCAAAGCTACGCAGCCGTTACCATTCCCTTAAGTATGACGATAGAGAGTGAAACAGCCACCTGATGCGAACCTTGAGAATATGAGAGGACGAACTCGAACGCAAAAATATCAAATGTCACTTGTTAATGTTTTTTATAAAACCTGACAGGATGACATTTTTTCTTTTAGACTAGAATTAACGATAACCGTGGTATTTGAAAATTTTTTGAAAAATGTAGCATGGATATAAAGCCATTCTGAAAAATAAAGAATCTTCCACTGTTCAACTAAGCTTATATGTATCTCAAGACAAGCCAGTGTAGAGCGACAATAATAGATTTCCACCACATTGAGTCAGCCATTGATTGGAAAGAATAAGCTGTTAGAGCGCATGCGTCTAATCAACATTTCTCTTCCTCTTGGCGACTGCTAAACGCGTTTAAGTAATGTAAGCTGCCGCGATGCGTATAATTTCTTCAGTCATTCTTGCCTGATCTTGTAGTCCTTTTAATGAGAAATTCTAACCAGATATATGTCTACGCATTGGAGAAAATATTGCCAAGATATAGTCGAGATGTAGCTGATATATTCGAGATGTATACAGTGTGTCCAAGATAAGGATCCTATGCAAGGGCATCTCAATACCTGCGGGAGATACAGCTTAGGTTAAATTAGGAAAAAGCTGCTCTCCTTGGAGCGTATTTGTACCATGCCGTTGAGAAACAAATCGTTTTTATTTTTTTTACTTTATTTTAAGAAATATCAAAAAACTCGTGGAACTTTTTCATTGGCACTTCATGTTGGTATTTTTAAATTTTGTGCCCGACGTATTTTAGAAACAGTCAACTTTATTTTTTATAGGGTTTGAAAAAAGTACACCCTGTGCCTGGTAGCATCTTTTTCTACGAATTCAACGATGTATCACATGTTACATTTGTTTTCTTAGTTATAAAGAAAAATGTGTTTTTTTTATTTTATTTAAGTAGTGGTTGCAAACAAATGCTTGATGTAAAATTATGTAATTTTATAAAATGATCCTTAATCTAGTGATTTTAAGAATAACGACTAAATTTTTAGCATTATTTTTATTTTATTCACAATTGGTGTTCAAATAGGCTACCATTATTTTCTAAACATAAAAATGATCTTCTATCAGTAGAATTCAGAACATCACGTAACAGTTGTGGTGTAATCATACTAACATAAATTTTCTGCTCATTGACGTACCCGTTCAGTTGAAAATGTGCCTCATAAGAGAAAATGATTTTCTTCGAGAAAACCGCATCAATTTGGTGGTGCTCCAGCGCCCAATCAACGAATTCACGACGCTGCTCATCGTTCGTTAGCTTGATTTCTTGTGTCAGTTGAACCTTGTACGCATGCAAGCACAAATCTTTTGTCAAAATTCGTTGCAGAGTGGGTCTGGTAAGATTCAATTTTTGACCATGATGCCGAATGGAAGTGCCTGGATTCTCGGCCACACTTTCCCGCACTATATTTTCGAGGGACCGATTAGGACGGCGACGAACAGTGGTCTTCACGTTCACCAACGTGAATTTTGTCTCAAATTTTGTAATTAAACGGCGAACTGTAGACTCATTTGGCGCATTATTGCGACCGAAAATTGTACGTAATTTGCAAACTGTTTCCGCGTAATTTTCTCCATTTTTGTAGCGAGTTTTCACAGTAATTAAACGTTACTCATTTGAATACTGCTCCATGACGTCTAATCGCGTGGTCTGGACATGACAGCTGACATCAAATAAGCACCATACCATTTGTACAGAAAAAAATCGCGGCAAATTCAAATCCGGCGCTCTTGTTGAGACAACCTTTACATAGGAATATTACTGATCAATTACAATGGTAGTGTTTGTGCTGTAGGTCCAGTAATCATAACTTGGTTTCAGATACTTTGTCAGTGTGCAATAAGGGATAGAAATGTGTAATAAAAAATGATATCGAGTACTTATTTATCAAAAATGTATTCACTTAGATAAGACATATCATGACTGTTATTTACGGACAATACCAATATTACTTGGTAATATATGACTAAACTAATTTGAAAGAACAAACCATAGAGCCTTACATGTTGCGCTTCGTTTGACTCTCGTGCCAAGCCTTCGCTATAGTTCTTTTCATTTCATCATCTCCAGACTCATACCTGTAGAAAGGAATAATAATTAAATGATGGTTTCATGCAGGACACGTTTTACATGCATTATGTTTTCATTTCACTTTCATGATATTATCATTTCACAATGACTTTGCGCACGACTAAACGACAAACAAAACTTTATTATAATATAGATCTTCAAGCAACAGAACAGTTTATGGACACTGCCATTTCTACATTTACACGAATAGTTTACCGTTAACCGATCCTTATCGTTAGTTAGATAATGGTTATGTCAGGACACTGTTGTCTAAATCGACAAGAAGCTCTTGGTCTGGCAGAAGAGGCCATAATATGCCGTTTCTGCAGAGAGCATGAGAAAACTTAAGTGCATCTCCTATGTCAGTGTGAAGGCCTGGGAGGACTACGGTTTCAGATAGCTTCAGGAAGCTACATGCAAGGTCCTGTGTCAAGGCTATGGAGTCACAAAAGATCCATTTAGCTCGCAGTGACGTTAAGGCTAGCAACCCTTTCTTCTGTAATCTATTTAAGTGATCCAGTGATGTCTCGACAAACACTATGAACGCAGCAAGTCTCTAGAAGTAACGACTTTTCATTCAGTAGTGGTTAAACATTCATTGAATGAACACATTCTTTGCAAAAAATGAAATATCAAGCTGTATCTACAATGTTTTGTGTCTTTTTATTGGGGTTGGGAATTTCCAGGTAGCAGAATATCTCATCCATAGGCAGAGAAATTCTAAAAATGGTATGAGCTTAATGCAAAAAAGTGCTAAACAAAAAAGGTTGACTTTGCACTTCCTATCACAAAGGATTATGTTGGGGACAAGTTGGCCCCTTTGAGAAACAGTTAGCTATGAACATGTATAACAAAAAACTAAATGGATCAAGTTAGTCAATCAGGCTCATCCAATTAAAATTTGAATGTTTAGTATGCTTTTCCCCTCCCTCCTCATTATTTTTGACGGCGTACCGCTTTCTTTCTAAGTTATCCTTTGTCGATGGATGACTCTCCCATTCCCCTGACAAACATTTCTGCGAGCGCACATGCTTCAAACTATGTATACATCTGGCGTGGATGTCGCTCGACCGACTGCTAGACACTTGCATCGGCATGACCGCGAAGCATGTATAATCGGTCGGAAATATGTCTCCATCATTCCAAGTATTAAAGATAAATGTACGGGAAATCTATGATGAGTGAAATATGTTTACCGTATCTGGAAGCGGATAAGCATACCAACGTCAAAAACTGAGACATAACCTAAATCTCCTCCCCTACAACACCTCGTCCAGCAATATTTTTACCCCTAATTTTTGTTCAGACAGACGGAGATGAGTGACAAGATTTTTCGTGATCTTATTAAATAACATAAAAAAACGTGATCCTAATAGCTCGTTTTTGAAATTTTCTGCGATTCCTTGCCCAGTAGCGTAGGGAGTAAATTGGTCCCCACCATATCATATGATAGTTGTGTCAGAATAGTCCATAAAAGACTGCTCAGAACTGAGTGCATCTTAGCTAAGGGTGGTAAATCTCAAAGAAAGTGATTGATGACATTCTACTACAACAGGTATCTAATGGGCATAAAACTTGCTTCTGAAGTCATTGCTAAGGTGGACAGTTTGGAAGCAGAATTACAAAGACTGGAAAGGAATGATCTCTAGCAACAGAAATGTTCTTGAAGAAACAACAGAAGGAATTCAAGAAACCCAATTAAAGGCTGGTAACATAAATGGCCCTTAACTTTCCGGGGGATGCTGACAATCATGCTGTCAAGAAGTTGGATGATTAACATGAAAAGAATTGTTCTTTTCTTGTTATATAAAATTAGTATTTGTTTTGTCATATCACACTTAAGGGCTATTTGTTATCCCCTGGAACGTACGTTGTGTCTCATTTGATAAATTAATGATGTTACTCGGGTTTTTATGTAATTTTATACATTTGTTGTTGTTTTTTCTAATCCATTGTTCAACATGTATCTATATCATGTTAATTTTAATTGTTGAAATTTCTAAATGCATATAACAGCTTCTCAATATGTAGCCCTGAAATAGGGAAAATAAACGGCAAACAGTTCCAACTTGAAAAAGGTCACTTCTCAACACCTATACAGGGTGATTCACTAGTCGTGACTAAAAATGAAACATCATACACAGGACCGCATTTTATGGGGGATCATCGTCTATGTAATATTTTTTGCCTCGAGAGCTTCATTAAAAAGATACGGGGTGTTGAAGTTTAAAAATAAGAAAGGAATTTTTTTAATATCTTCAAAACCGTCAACTGGAATAAGGTAAAATTTGGAATGTAGATTTACCTAATTATTGTACACATTCAAAAGTCTTTACGTAAAATTAACGTGCACAGGGGATTAGTGGCATTATTTTTCCAAACAAAAATAGTACGCTAATTTTTTTTTCAAACGCACACTTTTTCAAAGTTTACCTTCAATTTGTTACAAATAATTACTCTTGTGTTTTTTTTCTAGAGTGCATTGTTTTCGTAAAAATTAAAAAACAAATTAGATACTCAAAGCTTTCAATAAATGTTCAAATTACCACCATTCTGGCGGATACAAGTGCGACATCTTTTCATAAAGAAAAACGGATTACCGGCTTTTTCTTGTAACTGATCAACAGTATTATGTAATTTGTTCATCATACACTAATTGCTGAAAAGCACCCCACAAAAAGAAATCCAGAGGGGACCTCGCAGGCCAACGTACGAGTCCGTTTCTGCTAATCCATCGTTGTCCTAAAATGATTATTTATCCATGCGGTTATGTCACGACGAACATGTGGTGGGGCACCGTCGTGCTGATACCACATTCGTACTCTCGTTGCTAATGGTACATCAACTAACACATTTTCTATGTAATTCTATAGAAAAGCTAACTATAAGTTTGCATTTAAATGTTGTGGCGATACCTGCATAAACAGTTGACTACTGAAAATGCCGTACCGACCGATTTCTATAAAATCTGTGTTGAAGCGAGTGGATTCTTACAGAAAGGGGATTTTCTAACTACCAAATATGTTCATTATGAGAATTCGTTCCACTCCTCGTACAAAGCAATTCATCTGACCACAAAACCAAATCAATAAGATCTGCATTTCGATTATGCATTTGCAGTAAACCACTCATAAAAATTTCGCCTTGCACTCCGTCGGGTTGCAGACATTGCACATTTTGCCGATGGTAATGATGTAAAACTTCCCAATTTAAAATTCTCTACGCAACAGAGTGGAACATGGTAACTAGGCTGCAATCCGCCTCGTACTTGTACTAAAATCATCCAACGCCAAATTAATCACTTCCAGTTCCTCTTGAGCAGTATGCCGGACAACATGGCCTCTAATTCCGGGAAGTTGGCAATTCCATATTGCCGAAGTCTTAGAAATGAACGAGTAAAAAACCTTTGTGGTAGGTTGGCGTCTGTTAGGAAATCTACGTTGATACTCCGAGAAACCGCTAAAGCATTTCCATTACAGAACCCGTACACACAAAAATATCGGCGTACTCATCATTACTAAATTCCATCTCACAACACTCAAAAATTGAAAAAAGAAACTTTTGAGTTAACTTTACAAAAAAAAAAATGTAGTAACGATAACACCGCATAACACATAACTTTGACAAACGATCTCCCAAGAAACGTCAAGTTGGTATCAAGGCCTCCTATTTTATTTTGAAACTAATTGCATCTCGGCCCTTCATGGATGATCTAATTTGTTTTATTTTTACGAAAACAGTGCACAGTAGGAAACAACACACGAGTAATTATTTGTAGCAAATTGAAGGTAAATTAGAAAAATAATGCCACTAATCCCCTGTATCTCCGCCACTGGTGTACGTTAATTTTAAGTACAGACTTTTGAATATGGACACTACGAGTACTTGGGTAATCCACATACCAAATTTTAGTTAATTCCAGTTGACGTTTTTTGAGAGATTGAATGTTTTTTTTATTTTTAAACTTCAACACCCTCGTATCTTTTAATGAAGCCCTCGAGGAAAAAATGTTACACAGAAGACCCTCCTTAAAATGCACAGTCCTGTGTATTTTTTGCCACGAACTTGTGAATCACCCTGTATATGGTATCTCAAGAATACGACGAAGTCAAAAGTAACATATCACACACTAGGATATGAACTTATTTCTTTTGTATCATTAGGAGTTGGATTTACTGAAGGTAAAAGGAGTAATTAAAGACGTGGGACAGAATGAAAAGCGGATGATAGGAAAAAAATGTTGCCCACGTTGGTACAGTATCCATTAAAGATCGTTCCGACATGTCAAATAGCACACTACCATAAAAAACTGATCAGATGATACGAATGTGATATTTTTCCTTTTTTTTATACCAAAGCAGCCGCGTACGCGCGGTGCCTAAATATCAGGGCACTGCGGTTCCTCTGAGGATCATGAACCATACGATTTTTGGAACGGTCTAAGGTTAGTAGAACTGGGAAAAGCCTGCTAAGGTAGGTTGTTCCACAATCTCGATATCCTAGGGAGAAAGAAGCGGTTGGTATCTGTAGTACGAAAGTTCGACATGTCTAGGATGGGTGGCTGAAGTCCCGCTGGTCTATCTGGCACGCACATCGCGCAGCGGCATCATGGAGGAGAGCTCTGAGGAGCAAAACCAGTTGACATAGCAGTAAAAGAGAGTTTGATTTGACGACGGCCCTTCGGTGCAAAAGCGTCTCGGGACTAGTCTAGCTTTTCCTCAGCAGCTGTCGCTTTTGACTAGATGTGTTGGTGAAATATCAAGTCCTCGGGTATCTGGACTCCACCCAGCCGAAATGCTACTGGTACTGTACTGTGTTTGGAAGCACTAAACTGTACCAGATTGTAGCGTCCTCAAGCAGTGATAACCTCCAGGTCTCTCGTTATAGAGCAAGTCCTCTTTTCTTCAGCTTGCTGGCAGGGACCATGCATGTGGAATGCTGTCAGCAGCAAAGCTGTGGATCGTATTGGTCCTACAGGAAAGGAGCATGCAAATTTGAACATTATGTGTTGTTTTTTTTATACTCCAACTACCACGGAGGCCTAAACACCCATTGGGTACCGTGGGGATTTAGGGGGATACCGGGGAAAGGGGGAACGCCACACGGACTCTGGCGAGGGAACACGTGTGCATGCAACATGCACACATTCTGGCTCCGCCTACGAGATCCGCCGGATGGTACCTCCGCGTTCGACAGTCAGAGACCATCTACCACCTACGGACAATCACAACATCCATAGTCAAGAGAAAAGTTTCTCCTGGGACGGGATTCGAACCCGCACAGCGCACGGCGACTGATCAGGAGACCGAAGAGTCTACTACTGTGGCCACCGCTGCTGCCTGATGGTGTTTTTGATAGGGGGTAAATGAGATTTGAATATAGTATAGGAAGAATCCATTGGGATTTTGTCTGAGAATGTGAGCAAAGCCCACGACAAGTACCACTAAAAAATAATATAATATGAAAGTCAACTTACATATTTTTCATTAAACTCATCAGTCCTTCTTCAGGGTCTGCATTGTCAGAGCCGCCCAGTTTAGGTTTCTTCAATTCACTTGATTTCTTCTCATATTCTGTAACATGGGACCAGTTCCCTTCAGATGCCTTTGCCAATGTTATAATGACCATATCTAGAAATAGGAAGGTAAGAATATTGGAATATTTTTCTTACTATACAGTGTGAATATAAAAGGTTGGTTTTAAATGATGAATTTCAGGTTGGAAACAAAAAATACTGCAAAGAGTTGTACAGGTTCAAGTCCGATATTTTTTTTGATTACCCTCTCCATGCAAATAAGACGTTTCTCCGGTTTTAGTTACAGAACTTTGATAAGAAAATTGGGACTATCTGATCAAATCTGTATGTAAGGAAACCATGCATGGTTATGACACTTTGGAATAAGTGGATCCCAAAATGTTGGTTCTAAGAATGTCGTGATAAAGTGATGATTGATAAAATGTGCATACCTTTCTTCACTTTCCATGCGCTTTGTGAGTATCTATTGGACTTAACAGGTTGTTAATTCGTAAGACATGGTCTTTGTTATCCAAATCCAATACTCGTAATTCTAGGTTTCTTGGCCCAAAGTTACATTTAACATTCTCTGAAGCGACAGTGTTGACATCTTTAAGAGTGACATATATCTTTAGAGCTTTGACTGTCTGATCCCAAGCTAAAAAAAGTAAAAGCCTAATTAAAACAAATTTCAGTTTTTATAAGCTAAATATCATTCACTGAAGATTCAAGGTACAAAAATATCTCTAGACATCTGTATTCATAGATATAAAAATATAGAAAATAAGCATAATGGTAAATCACATAAATGATGAAATTCTAGATATAATTAATGACGACGATGGTTCTTTGAGTAAAATAATGGACAGTACAGATAAACCTTCTTGTCACAGAATGCACATTCATTGGCTGTAACTATGATTCATGTTAATATAAGAAGTATCAATAGAAATTTCGATAATTTTCTGGTTAACATAGGCTCAATGAGGAAGTAACAGATTACAGTCCTACAGTGCTTTGTATATCTAATAAAGCACGACATTCTGCTCTATTGATGGATTTTTTTAAAACTAATAATGTATTATCAGGTAATCAATACGGGTTTCTTGAGGGTAACAGTGCAGTGGATGCTATGCAGCAATTAATAACTGAGATTGTCAATAATCTGAATAATGGCAACGAGAGAATTGCTGTTTTTTGGACCTTGCTAAGGCTTTCGACACGGTTCACGATAAGCTAATCGACATTGTTCACAGCAATGGTATTAGGGGAGTGGCTTATGATTTACTGAGGGATTATCTTATAATTCATATAAATACGATGCTAAAGCTGGACACGGGGGGTTTAACTATTTCTTATGCTGACGATACTGTATTTCTTTTTTTGCAGGTTCTAGTTAGAAGGATGTAAGTGGAGAACAGTGTATGGTCTATGTATGGTAAAAGACTGATTACAAGAGAGTAAGCTAACATTAAAAAATTTAATAACAGTTTATCAAGCATTTGTTGAATCTATAATTAGATATGGGATATTAGTATTGAGGGAATGTATAAACATGCTCTACATAAACTCATTATTATTCAGAAATATATTAATTTAAATTATTTTTAAGAAAGATATCATATCAGATTCCCCACTAATAAACTTTTTACAAAGGATGCATGTAGTATTAGAACCTTGTACATGATGACAGTAAATAGGATTTTCTTTTCATTTGTAAGCACGGACGATGAAAGCACATACAGGTGGTTTGAACCATGTAGGTGTAGGTGCATCTTTCTTTCATTTTGATGACTTTGATAAAGAGGAATTACATTGTTGGGTTATATATTTATGTTTATTTATATTTTTTTGTATATAATCTTTATTATATATTAAATAAATAAATAAAAGGAACATTCACAACCTGGCAAGACCTATGACATCTAGAATTGCTACATAACAAAAAGTTGTAAAGATGCAACTTTGGTATGCCAGTTACTTCAATTTTTTTCACACCAAAGCAGCTGCACCGCTAGAAGCCTACATGCCAGGATATGGCAGCTTTTACGAGTAGCTTAAATAAACTTAATTCGATTTTTGAATGGGGAAAAGGGAAAAGCCTCCTCTTGTAGATTGTTCCACAATCTCGAGACCTCGGCTACAAAGGAATTGTCATATCGGACAGTTCTGGATGTATAAGGTTCAGGATGGGAGGCGAATATGTCTGGCAGCCAGATCGCGCGGCGGCATCAGAACTTGAGAGAGAACTTGAGGAGCCAAGCCCATTGGCCTAGCGGTAGGAGCGAGAATGCCGACGACCCGCTGGTCCCAAGACTGTCTGTTAGAGAAGAGTCATCGATCAGATGGACACCCCTCCTCTGAACAGCATCAAGCATAGATGACGTAGTTGGGGTAGCACCTCGCAGTACTCACTATCAGGACCTTGTATATAGTGAGGAGGTCAAGTAGCGAAAAATACTTCTTAGCCCAGACAAATAGCTCAGTTTTTTTCTTGCAGCTGCTGCTATTGACAAGATGTGTTTGTGTAAGGTCAAGTCACTGGTGATCTATACTCCAGTCAGCCAAAATGAATGGCCTTTTGATAGAACTCTGCCATCCATCAAAAGTGGATGAACACTAGGATGCTTTTTGTTAGTCAAGATACAGTACAGTTTTGGAAGCACTAACCTATACAAGATTGAAGTTTATATATATAGTCAAAGTCACGAAAGATGACTGTTACGTACTGAAGTAATCAGTGGACGTATGTCGATGATAAAAGCACAATGTCAGGAACATAATGACAACAAATTTATATTATGATTTTGCGAAGTTAGGTTTTCATTATTTTGATTATTTTTCATTTTATTTCATGGTTTTGAGTGATACCATAATAATAATTTTAGTGGGGAGTTATTATTTTGAAAAACAGTTATGAGTAGAATACCTTGAGACAGGAACACCAAAGACCAAAGTATTATTCCAAAACAACCTAACCTGCTTTAACATAACCTAACTATTCATCTCTCAAATATGATCGATCATACCACATGAAAACATCATCTGTCTTTCGGATACAAGCAAATTAGCAATACAGCTTGTTTAGACAATAAGATTATGTTTGTCTCTGTCTA